TAGTCGTGTAGGTGGATACCAGGGTTTCTGAGGAAAACAGTGTCCCTTAATATGATTTACTACTTAATTTATTTCTTTATAACATGTAAGATGTTAATATATTTGCTATTTTAACGATCTTGTACGTTACACGAAAACGCGAGGAATAACACAACACGCAAAAGAAAGAGTTATCAAACGAGCACAAAAGGTTGGACGCTGCTGCTCTGAACTGAACGTAATTAGCGTCTGGCTGTGTGTAAATTCCCTCAAGAAAGAGGCAGGTAAACAATGGTGGCAGCGGACAAATGAGTGGGCAGGCTCAGAATAAGAAGAATTGCCCCTACGACATTATACCAACAATGTAAAAAAGAAACTCTAATGAATTAATTGTCATGTTACTGTTGTGCGAGGGACCTCCTACATATCAATCACTCCAAACTTCATGTAATTGAATTTTCCTTTCAAACAAAAACTCAGAGGTTCAAGCTGTCTAAAGAGGTAACGCTTCTGTGTTGTATTCGGTAGAGGCCCGGTTCGAATCTGGGCTGTGACGCCAAATGTCCTCACGTGGATTTTGCTTTGTTTTTCTCAGTTCCTGCAGGCTAATGCCCGGAGAATGCCTCAGCATAGGCCATGCTCTGTCTACAAATGAATAATTAATTAATCACTATGCCGTGAAGGCGTTTAGGTGAATGGAGGTGTAGTTCAGCCACTCAAAATGTCCCAAAGTTTAAAGGAACCCCAAGATCCATTGTCTTGTTCACAAGAGTCTTTCACTGGTCCCTCTCCTGAGCCAGATTAATCCAGTCCATATCACCCCATTCTATTTTTCTGTGAACCATTTTAATATTATTCTCCCACCTATATCTAGGTTTTCCTACTGGACTCTTCCTTACTGGTTTTCCAAGCAAAACCCTGTATGCATTCTTCTCCTCCTCCCCTCAAATGCTTCCTACATGCCCTGTCCATCTCATTCTCCGTGACTTGATCATTCTAATTATACTTGGAGAAGAGTACAAGTTATGAAGGTCCTCATTATGCAGTTTTCTCCAACCTCCTATATTAAAGATTTGTATATTCTAGTTTTTATGTTTTTAGACAGCAGACGAGAAGACAAAAGGTTCTGGACTGAATGGTAGCAAGCATTACTTGAATTCATACATAAATAATTAAGCAGGAAGGAACTAATCGTTCCACAAATAGAATTTGTGTATGTAAAGAAAAAATTGTCCCTGTACTTAACTAATTAAGCACTACGCGATCGAGTGTATGGGGGAGTGGAGGTATAGATACACCTCGGCACTAGTTGAATGTGAGTGGTCAGCTTCACGCCCCGGCCCCCTTTGTGTGCATGTACGAGTACACCAGCACTTTCCTCATGTTCCCGTTGCAAGACTTGCATTCATGACTGTTTCGTGGTATTTTTTTTTGCAGGAGTCTTCTTCAGGTCGAGTCCTGTGAGGAACCTCGGGATTGGAATGTAGGGGAGACGGCGAGTCTAGACGTCATCTTCGCGGCAGGAAAACTTTCAATTAATTTGAAATGCATACTAAAATTCCAAACGAAAATGACAGTTTCGAAAAAAAAAGGTTTAATTGAATTAAATATCTATTTCTACACGAATAACAATTAATTTAAAAAATGCAACTAAACAGCTTCTAGGACAGTATATTAACTGCCATGTGGTTTAAAAATATCAATGCCATTTTCAAATTTCTCGTTGAAATTTACGCAGTTTACATCACGTAACCTTGCGATTATGGGACAGGCGGTAGCGTAGTTGGTTGAGACACTATACTACAAGCCGGAGGTCGCCGGTTCAAGTCTCGAATAGGTGAATTTTTTCAATTGACCTAATTCTTCCAACCACATTATGAACCTGGGGTCGACTCAGCCTCTTAACAAGAATGAGTGCCAGGAACCCTCTCAGGGGTAAAGAGTGTCCGGGGCGTAAGGCTGACAACATAACCGCCATCTTAGAAAATGTGGGAGCTTCGACGTCTCACAACCCCATGGGCTTCCACGACCTGTTAACAGGGATAGCTTTATCTTAACTTTACTTTTACCTTACAATTATGCTTATTTCCGTTACATCCAATATAAATAATAATCAGAGATACAATTTTGGTAGGAAAGTCTCAATTTTGAAAGCATAGGCATGGCTGTTGAAATCATTTTCAAACGGACCTTGGAGGAGAATGATACCATAGCCATGAGAGTTTCTTGCGCGGCTGAATAGGTATAAACTGCTCTAGCTAGATGATGTACCTTGGAATTCTCTACGCGACAAGGCACTTAAATAAGAAACAGATGAAAGCGACTTCAATAAAGGTGGAAATAGCCTATTACTTATTGAACTTGAGACTTTGGAAACGTAGCTATCGCCAGATCCAGGCGTCTATCGACTCTATTACAGCGTTTGGGTTTGTGAAGCGAACGTAGAATAACCAACTGACCTTGATGTAGATGCCTGATTTTGGTAATTTCCAAAAAGACAGAAGAAGAATAAAAATGTAAGACGCGAGTAACACTCGTATCCGCAGTCTTAAATGAAACCAATTGGGGCAGAAGTACACGTAGTTTCAAGTCCTCTCTTTAGCCTACTTTCTTTATTTTGTGAAAATAAAAATAAGCTTATGCGATCAGTATGATGTCTGTCTGTTTGTGTGTCTGTGTATCCCCATTGTTAACTTTTGAATGCCTGAACTGATCTTTATGAAATTTGGTATGTATATCAGGACACCTGAGCCAGTCTCAACGGCGCACTTCATAAATCCCTCCCATCAGTCTGAGTATCTCTATGCGTATTTATCCTATCGTTGCTAGGCAACGGATACACACGCAACAATACAAGAATTTATGGAAGGTCGTTTTCTATATGGTTCGTGCCATATCAAAGGAAAGTAGGAGAATAGTTCTTCCCAGAACATCTTGTTTTCTTACTGTGAGGCCGTGTAGTCCAGCAATTGCCACCTGCTTCTTGCTGCTTGCTTGATTTACTATTCGGTCCTGGAAGTTGGGGCAGTACGTTCCTCCGATATGTGGTAATCATCTACCAGATTACACGGTGTCATCTCCCATAATATTTTAATCTTCATAGACATCGCCATGGGGATTAAAAATCTCACTCTTTTGTTTTATTTGAATGAGCTTGGTTGTACAGGAACATATAAAAACCGATTCACTTCCCTGATTCTGGGGACGAGACTAAGCCTTTCTTACGCAGTTGATGGAAACAAGCGCAGCCATTGAAATGTAACCCCCAGGGAATTTAGCTCCTGGCTTCAGGACATATAATATCCCCTCCTTCTGATGTATTTTATTAAACAGAAACGACCTCCTCCCGTTTCTATTCGCCAAGAGGCGGTCTCGTTACCATGACAACGTCTGACAGAGTCTCCTCCCCTATTCTCCCATCACGACAAAACACATAATGAGCAATTACTGTGAAAATATATGTACATAATTTGTGTATACATAAGATGTGTGTGTATTGCTATAGGAGTCAGAACCCGGCTGACAGTTGCAGACTTCACTTTTTATTGATTCCTCATTCGTTAATTGTCGGGCTTACTTTGTCTTCTTAAAAAATAAAATAGGGTAACAAATTGTGAAATAAATGCTGTTTTTCAGTTAAAAATTAGGCCTATAAACATGGCGGCGGCGCGCAATGTCCAGAGTCATGAGGTAAACGTAACAGAGACAAAATCTGTAGGACCCATTAGACCTAGGCAATAACGCCTTCCAAAACGGATAATAATAGTAATAATAATCACTCACTCATGAAGCTGGCCCTTCTTGAGGAGCCGCCAATTGTGTAGCTACTCAAGAACTTACCAGCATTTTATGCAACCCGAAGGTTCATACCGTGTTCACAGGAGCCCTCCACTGGTTCCTATCCTTAGCCAGACCAATCCAAACCATACCATTCTATCCTATTTAATATTGATCATCCATCAACGTCTTGGTCTTCCTAGTGGTCTCTTTCCTTGTGGTTTTTCACCAATATCCTATATGCATTTCTCTTCTCCCCCATCCGTGCTACATGCCCTGCCCATCTCATCCTCCTTGACTTGATCATTCTAATTAGAGTACAAGTTATGAAGCTCCTCATTATGCAGCCGGGGTAGCTCAGTCGGTATAGCGACTGGCTACGGGCTGGGCGACCGAGAAGTCGGAGTTCGAGTCCCGGTAGGATCAAGAACTTTCACTTCTCCATGTGGTCCAGACCGGCTCTGGGGTCCACCCAATCTCATATCCAAGGCGTACTGGGGGCTCTTTCCCAGGGGTAAAGCGACCGGGGCTTGAAGCCGACCACTCACCTCCAACTAGTGCCGAGATCAAGAAAATGTGGATATATACATCCACCCCCCCATACGTCTTCACAATGTTAGGTGGGTCCCTTGTCACCACGTCATGGCGCGTCCTCAGGTTGCGGATGAAGGATACGCCCTCCAGGTATGAAGGGTAGCTGCCAATATGTTGGAAAAACTCTCGCGGATAGCCGACAAGGGGTGGTCCTCCAGCTTGGAGGTTGGGAGTGAGACTAAAAACTCCTCAACGTAATAAATAAGCTTGTTACGAAAGATCACAAGAAGCCTCGGATAGTAGCAGTAGTAGTAGTAGTAGTAGTAGTAACAATAATAATAATAATAATAATAATAATAATAAACTGTTGCATTTTTATAACTGCACGCCATAAATAAATTCTACCTGACTTTGTGACCATCTGCGCAGCAGTTCAGTATGCTAACGAAGGAGAGAAATTGATTTTCAATATTGGGTTATAAATATATAGCATCTAAATAATATATTAACTATACATAAACTTTGTAGGGCTGCAGAAGGAAAGAATGGGTTAAGAAGTCTGCGCCTAATTCCTTGGTTAAGTAGGCGTACTGTCTTTATAGATTTATCCTCTCTATGAAACAGTAAGTACAAAAGGTTCACTGTATGTTGCTGTATGAGAAGCTATTCGGGAAAACCTGATAAGCAAACTGAAGCAACATGTGTCCTACCTTTTCATTCCGTCAATCTTCGTGTTTCAGGTTTCATCAACTGCAGCACAAACATGAGATCCATCCATGCGCTTCGGGTATCACTAGTCACTCGCAAGCACATAGCTTCTAATTTACGTAATGTAAGCACTTTATCCAATGCACAACACGTCCACTTTACAAATAAGCAGATGACAAAATAGGAGATGTAAAACGCTGCCATGTTCCAACGAAAAGAACACTAACTTTTTCCATACATTGAATGATGGGTAATCGCAGTTGGAGGGAAGAGGTTTGGATGCTAGATTTGTCATACTTATCTTCACGTTGATACCACTAGCGTGTAGACATACTAGCACTGCGCTCTGTTAGGGAGAAAAGGAACAAAAATATTTACCACACTGGTAGTGATAATGAATGACGGTCATATGCTGTGAGTATGGCATATGACGTGAGTGCAGATGTATTGAATATCCTCAACTGCGTACCGTTTCTACAACATATCAAGCCCTTCATTTTGAACATCTTTTACATATTATATTACATTACTTTATACCTGCTTCAAGCTGATTTATCCCTTGGCTGGTTCTTCGACCCTGAGCGTTGAAGCGAAGTGTTACTCCGAAACCATGGTTGACTGTCAACTGTACGAGTTATATGCCAGAAGCCAGAGCTCTTCATAACCACCCCTGAGAGAACCTCAGAACAACGATCCATATTCAGTTTTGATTTTATTTTTCGGCTATAAATTCATAACAGGCCTATTTAAACAAGATATAAACAACAAACCGAGCGGGTTACCGTGACGGTAATGAACTAGACTCGTATTTTTGAGGTCCTTAGTTCAAGTATGGGCCGAGACACGTTATCTATAATAAAACTTTCGTAATGTTCTTTAGTTCTTCCAGGCAAATGACAGTTAAGTAAAGTAAGCAAAGATATCCCATTAACAGGACGTGGAGGCCCATAGGGTTGTTGTGAAACGTCGAGGCTCCCACGTTTTCTAGACAATCCGCTCACAGATGGCGGTAAGGTTATCAGCCTTACGCTCCGGCCTCCCTTTACCCCCAGGAATATTCCTGGTACTCATTTCTGTTGGAAGCTGAGTCTACCCCAGGGCAATAGTGCGGCTGGAAGGATTAGGTCAATTGAAAAAATCCACCTCATCGGGATTCGATCACGCGACCTTCCGGCTTGTAGCATAGTGCCTCAACCAACTACGCTACCGCGTGTCCCCTGCAAATGACAGTACCTTGATTAAACTACGGTCGCTTCTTTTCAGATCCTTTACAATTCAACTGTCACCCTAATATTAGACGCTACGGTCTAACCAGTAACTGCGCCCCACCCCTCAAAAGCCATTAACAGTAAAAGATTTGCAGAAGTATACAATACAAAGGTGGATTTAATGATTTCTAGTTGAAACTCCGTGTTTTTATTTATCTTTCATATTATCTTTTATTCTCGGGAAAAAATTGGCTCACTAATAATATTCCTTGAAAATACATGGGTGTGTCCGTTTTAGAAGTGTTGAAAACTAGACTGCCTAATCCGTCCGCACCACATATTCCTATAGACTGCCTAATCAGTCCACAACACACAATCCTATAATTTCCTAATTCAGGCATTGGGTGTACATTACTTATTAAACGGAAGTCAGCAAGCCGTGACGGCACGACTATAGAACACCAGACTGCTACCTAATTTAATTTTATTTGCATAAATTTTATATTGAAACATGTATCGTTGTAACCCATAACGTGGTTTGTAAACACAACACGGTGAATCACAACACGAGCGCTTCTTCAGGCACCTCTCGTTCCATCTCTCTCTCTCTCTCTCTCTCTCCGTGGCTCTATAGCCCTTGGGCCTTGGCTGCTTTTTCAGTTTCTTAATCCTATACGCAGTCGCTAGGACTCTTTGTATGGGGGATCAGCCCCGTTCCAAGGCCACTACCTACACACGGAACAACAAAAACACAGAATAAACGTTCACAGACATCCATGTCTCAGGTGGGATTCGAACTAACGACCCCAGTGTTCTAGTTGCCGAAGATGGTTCATGCCTTAGACCGCACGGACACTGTGATCAGAGACATATAGTAATAATAAGACACTGATTGGGGTTATTTTACATGATTGTACCCGTACATAATTTTCAGTTCTTTAAAGATTCTCAAAAAAGAGTCTTACTTATAGAATAAGGCCTTATGATACAAACCAACATATTAAAATCCCTGTAAAGAACCTTGTGGCTCTCTGGATGTCGAATAGACCAGAGAAATGTTCAATAGGAGGATTTTATTACCTTTAAGCTGAAACAAATAAGATTTTATTTGCCAGAAAATATAATAATTAATTCATCTAGAGAATTTGTCATAAAAGTTATATAATTTTCTGGCGTTTACGAGCTGTGCTGTAGAAGTTACTAGAGAAGGCCTTACCTGTATAAGAGCGAGTACGATATTTCCGTTCAGACTGGTTGCAGATAGACAGTCTCACCGTGTGTGTATGAGCAATCCTATCTGAAGAGTCGTAGAGCTTTTATGTTGTGGCATATTTGCTCAAAGCAAGAACTGTAGAGCCAGAGAAACGCTTTGCTAGCGAATGGTTCTGAGACAATATCCGTTTCTGGGTTACGGCTCGGTAAACATTTCCTCGAGGAAACAAAAGTGACTAAATCTGTTACTAGAGCAGCAAATTCCTGATAAACGGGGTAAGTAACTCGTTTCTGGGTGACGCAAACACATTCCCGCGGAAATGATTAGCGTACGAGAATATATGTTGTTGTCTGCGCGGTCCGCGTCGAGCAGTTATAAAGAAGAGCATCGGGGCAATCTAGTGCAAGAGAAGCCTCTGTGGAGGCGGGGTGGAATACCTCCACCGTAGCTCTGTGAGTTGTAGGAGGCGACAAAAAGTAACCCAGTGCGAGGGGTATAACTGGGCCACCCAGTTCCTAGGAGATATAAATACGGGGACCTGACCCTTCAGGTTGGGGGGAATCTCGAATCTGAGATAGTAAAATATGTAATATGTAATAATATAAAATTGTAAAAGATAGACCCATCTCGTCAGAGAGGATTTTAAATAAGAAATATGACCGCAAGTGTTCAGTTGAAAAAAAAATGCTGGCCCTGAATATGAAGGGGCTTGGCGCCAAGATTAACTAATTGGGGGGGGGGGTAAACTGCCAGTCGTAAAGTTACTATGACTCTGACTCTGAATCCAGTGCAGTTGACAGTTAACAGGAGTTCTGTACGGGACTTGAACACAGAAGTAGAGGAATGGCCATTGTTAATATCCGTTAGCAAGCAACGGCTAGTGAAGACTGTAATAGACAGTGGTGACATAGCGTGGAATGATTTTTAGTATGAAAATCAACAATAGAGTTGTAATGGCTTCTAGATCCGAGTGATGTGTACAAGTTAGCCAATAAATCCAAGTCACTAATCCAAACCACGTCTATATCCACACACCTTTATTTGATTATTTTGCTTCCCATATTCATTCGTTACGCAAAACATGCTTCTGCTTTTAATGCTTTTCCCACGTATAAACCCTTTATCTCTTGTACCGAACAGACTGTGACATGTTGACCCCTACCTTCTCAGCGGTACGTGGCGGTAACGTAACGCTCGCGTTCTTACGGTAATAGGCGAGTTCCCG